GCACCGCAAGTAACTGACTCAGAAGAGCTGCAAACCGTGAAGCTAGAGAAGTGTTCCCCAAATGCACAGTGTACCATTGATCTCGATGAATTGTATTGTGCGGGAGGAGAGGGTTGCAGACTGTTTGAATCAGAAGCTATGGCTGGGGTGAAAGTGAAACTACAAGGAAAAGGCAAGAAAGCGAGAAGTAGTTACCGTAGAAACTATCGGATCCTGCTGAAGATGCGTCTCCGTTTTGAGCAGGATCAACGGATGAATCATGGCCGTCAGGATACACACGAAGAAGGGGTACTGAATAGCTCTGTCCTTATATGAACAGTAAGCGATTCGAACACGTGAAGGATGAGAGCAAGCTGAAGGCAATCCTAACGGTTCGATTATCTCGTACGTCAATAAGAAGAGGGGTGCTCGACCTCGCGACAATCTATGACATGGTGGTCTGCTCCACGTTCCTCGCGGGAAAGCAGACCGCGAAGGTAATACACAATAGTGGAGGGACACAATAGTGGACTAAACTGACTATGCGCTCGCGTAAAGAACGTCTCCGAAAGGTAGGAAAAACTTAAAGGTGCTGCAGGGCAAAAGAATGTCTTCTTTTTCGACGACCTTCTCCTACCACAGAAAACCTTTTCAAGAAAGAGAGAGTAAAAGCGGGTCGAAGAATGGCACTATTGCAGGACACGAGGTCTTATAGTGGCAGTGCATTTGGAACTATGGAAGCATCTTTTGAAACAGGATTTAAGGCCTAGGGCGACGAAGAAAGGTCTCGGAAGTAGTGAGGCAACTTTCTTTCCCTGCCAAATGTCTGCCCTTCCCCTCGCTATGGTCCTCAGTCATAGAGGGTGCACCCGTATTTTGCGGTACAACCCAAAGAGTTTGATAGTGGAAGCTAGATCAGGTTGAGAAGATGATCTCAGACAAAGAACTTCTGAAGCCGGCCTCCCGAATCTCTTCGGTCTATTTAAGTTGGTATGGAATAATGCAATTGATGTCATACTGAACACTGGGTCAGACGCAAGGTGGAACTAGAAGCGAGTAAGGGTGGTTTTGTAGCGAGGGAAATTCCAACGAATCGCAACGCAGAAGAATGGTGCATAGGAGGACTGGCAAAAGACAACAGTTTCGAAGAACGGCACTGACTGCAAACTAACAAAAGATTAGCACTTTAGGCAAGGGCAAGTAGCATGAAGTTGGGCCCTATACGAGAAGCTACCCAACAATTTAAAGTCGTCTTCAGACTGGATGATACTCGTGAACTGGGCTACGCTAGACATCGAGACGCTGAAAGCTGTTAGGTATGATGATGACGTCATTCCGAGTGAACTAGCCGAAAGCAAGCGCAGTTCCAGTTAAAGGAGTACTCTATGCTCGCCACTGAACACAGGGATTTCATTGCAGGGACTCTTCTCACAAATAGAAGGCCACGGCTAGCCGTTCCTTTCTCAAAGGAGGATAAGATCAGCAAAGGAAGAGCATAAGGAGGCAGCCAAGCACAGCTACTGCGTAAGGAAGATGCCGGACGCTTGAAGTACAAGAACAGTCGTCGCCGTCTTCAAACAAAAATGAGTGTAGACGCGGTGTAGTACTCCTGCTACTGGCTTGACCAAGGAGCTGTACGAGAGGTCAGGTATTTGGAAACATGAGGCATCAAAAACTATTATATGAATAGAGTGCCGCGCAAACCCAGACAGTGGGGAAGCTGCAGACCATTGCACTGTTCGCGTCTGTAGAGATGAAACCCCTAACGCGATCAATATGCCTGCAGTCCTAAGTAGAAGGTTTGACTGATGAAGGTTGAGCTGTGAATGGTCGAAGTAGAGGTTGAAGGAGCAAGTGCGCCGCAAACCGCCTAATAGATAAGTGACTGCCAAGTTGACGAAATTACTGCTATCTAGACCTACCTGTTCAGCAATAAACATCGAGGATCAGGAACTGCTGAAGAAAAACTTACAAATATAGCGTACAGGATACGACTTATACTCAGCCCATAGGTCAGGAATCGGAAACATCATTATAATCCTTCGTGCATCTCCAACGGGAACGACCTTCAAAAGCACTTGGTAGTTTAGTCGCTGTAAGCATGCGAGAAAGTTTATATTGTCGTAAACGGTGCACTGTTAGAGCGATGAAAGGGAAACTACACTGCGTCCCATAATTATAACTCCACCCAAGAATTTCCCAAAATCTCACAAATTTAGATGTTTTAGAAAAAGTCTCCAATGTGGCAGTGTGTCAAATACAAATACGAAATTGCCTTATAAACATCATCTTCCAACTTGAGATCCCAGGAATTTTTTCTAATAATTTTTGTTCAAAAGGCCACTTAGCCGACGTCCCAAAATTATAACTCCACCAGGGTCAACCGTCCGTTCGAACTGTTCGAACGAAGGGGTCGCATTTTGGTCGGAAGGGGGTCGCAATTTCGAGGACTGCCAGCCACAGGCGCGTGCGTGGCGTATCCGAGGGCAAGAATTGTTTGTGCAGACCGCATTAGATTCGATTAATTATGCACAGAGAGACAGTTTTAGGCAAATTACGGTGTTTTCCTTGAGGAATAGAGAACAGTTGAATGCATCCCTATGAAAGGTTTGACTTCTCGGGGCTGAAATTAAAGTTCTTCGGGACCTGATTTTCTGAGGACGATTCTTCCAGACAACGGTAAAACATATAAGAAAGCAGAAATCTCGTAGTCTTCAAAAATGTCTTCGCCCCTCCCCAACAAGTTCTTTGAAGGAAGTTATTATTGCTGAAAGCTCAAAACTCGCATGTGCTGCTCAAAAACCTATGGGAACAAAATGTTCGAACGTGTGATTTTCTCGGAAAATGGATTTTGAAAAACGGTTTGGGCTTGTCAGAAAGAGCAAATCCTGCTCTTTCACCCCATGGAAGAGACGGGATTAGGTCCCAGAAGCCAGTATCTTACAGAGTGAGAAAGAGGGGTCCCCAGGGGCAGAAGGCGCGACACTGTAGCGACTCTAAAGTGCAAGGCAACGAGCCAAGGCCTCGCATCAACCACGGCATACGTGACTTCTGTGCCCTCTTATGTACGTAATCTCGCGTTCTCCCTCTCCTCGCAGCGCTGTGTCTCTCCGTCGTACTACGGCCGGCCTCCTAAGGGAAATTTAGTGTTTTCTATGGTGCTTTTTGCTTTTTCTCCTCACTAATGTTCCTCATTGCACTTCCATCTATTTGTTCTTCAAGCAAAATAAAGCATCAATCCAATCCCGACTCGTACCTTTGAATTTGAAATCTGCTGAAGGAAGACGTTAGAAGAACGTTCTCCTGGCAGACTCTGCCGTTGATCTAAGCAGACTTCTTCTGGAAAAGGGAGAAGTTACCACTGGAGGTTACTCCTGCACAGATACTGATAGACTCGAGGAAAGGTCAGTGCTGTGCAGATGATGTTGAGAAGACTGTCTACAAGCCGAATCCAGCAACCGGCTGTCGTTTTGAGAATACTGACTCATTCTCACAGTGAGGTTCTCTAGTCCGTCCCTGCACCGCTTCTGAGGTGTCCTCGCCTAAACCAATTTAGCCGTTTTTTTTTTCAAACTTCTCATTATACTTCTTTCTGTGAGAAATGAAGTCGCCGTACGCCAAAGACACGAAGACCTTGAGTCCTCTTCAAAGTCAGTTGGATCTTCTTGCGAGATTCATATAATCTCGTTCCGGTCGATCCCACCACTGCAGTCAATATTCTTCTCGTGATCTTACTCTTTGTATCTAATCTACCACAACTTCGTAATTACATTGCAACCACTTCTCCTTTATCTTCGGAGAATGGTTCCAGCTGGAATCAGAGAACGGCGATCAATATCTGCGATAGGTATGTACATCATTGCCCGCACGATAGTCATTGAGCAATAAGGAAAAGCTTCATTTCTCCGCAATTTTTGAGCAGTAACATACAAGCTTTTCCGCCGAAGATACCCAAGATCGCAAAATGCGAACAGAACTCTTCGATTCGACGGTACTGGTTGCACCTTAGTTATGCAGGAGAGAGAGATCTAGGCTTCAAAGAAATCGGGATGCAGCAGGCAGCTAAGTGCAGTGCACTCAAGCATTGGCAATCTGAGTGGGCCGTCTTGTTCGACCAGCGCGAACTGACTCCATAAGTCTGATGTCAGAGCGACGTCAAGGGTCGAAACGTTCTCTCCTACATCGATGAAGCGAAAACAGATTCACTAGACAATTGATGAGAAGAAATGACGGAAATCGAAGCAGTACTAGTGCGCGGTAGTACCCGCGTGAAAGAAGCGATCATGTGGCCGTCTCTGTACGTTGGATTAGACTTCTTCTGACATAATCGTAACAACGGCAAATGGCCCTGTATCCCCTTGAGCGTGGTTCAATGGCACTGGGACGACGCTACAGGGGGCAAGACCGGAAAAAACGGAAGGACCGTTGGGAAGCCGCGCAAAGGCCTGCTGCCATGCCACGGAACGGGTCGGCCTAATTATCCTCAAGTGATCGCACTAACCATATATGTCGCCCAACACAAACGCGCTCTGTCTAAACTCCATTAAAGCAACAGTTCAGGAACGGTTTCGCGGGAAAAAACCACCAATAATGAAGTTGTAGATGAAAACCAGACGATTAATGTATGAAAAACTGGAAAAAAAACGTCGGGGAGGGTCTTAGACAGGTACTCTCCCTCTGCCGCTCAGCAATGGATAAAGACGCACGTTGGACGAGTTGTCTGAACGTGCCCGCTGTAAACGCGCTCCATTTTTCAATCAATTTTCCCTGTGGTCCCAAAACGAGCACGATTGCCGACGCGTCCAATGACGGCCGGCAAGGGGGCGGGATTGGGGAAATCCCCAAGAACACCCATGTTTGAGGGACTTTCCACCCTGTTTTTGAGTTTCTGAGGTAAGTTCGTTTATTATTTCCACTGCATATGTTCTTCACTAGGGCTCGTGTATCCCTCAGTAGTAGTGGCATTGAAATTTTCGGACCCTCCCTGAACTGTTGCTTTAAATTCACTGCCAGCTCAGCCTACAGTTTGTGTAGTATCAAAAGAGACCCAGTGAAGTGAGACTTTTAGCAGATTACTCCAAGACTTACAATGGCTCTAATTTATACCCAAAAGAACGATACGCGTCTGATTGGCGCAGACTTGCTACGGAACGCCCCGGTTAAAGCTACAAATTTGTCATTCTCACGAGTTCAACTTATGGATACAATACAACATTCCAGTCTTACAAATCTCAATAAAGCGGGCATGCCTCAGTGAATTCCGTGTAAAGCCGTGAAGTGTGTATGTTCATGACGACGTGGCACTTCAAGCCACGTCTTTCTGGGTAACGGTAGCCCTTCATGAATAGTGAAGAGGGTATTTTGTGTCCAGAATCTTGTTGACTGATTTGTGCATCTAGGATCTTAGAACCTATTCAACATAACAGTTTCCGGAAAAACTCACCTCTACACGTTTACCTAGTTGCTCTTTACCGTACGGATTTTCCAACCATTCCTTTCGTTCCGCATCCTTGTTCTCGATGGCTCCGAAATCCAAAGCCTTCAACATCGACTCCAAGACATCCAATGACTCCGAACCAACAATGCATAGCGACATACTACAAAAAGTGAACGTGAAGGATGGCGCGATAGGAATGGTAGAGAAGGACTTTGCTGAGGGATGATTAGTGTTCGCAAGTGTATTATGAGCGCATGTAAAAATTATTACATTATATGGAACTTAGTCCATTGCTGTTCTGCAAACCTGTCCTTCTCGAAGGCGGATTTTACGTTGAAAAGGTAGCTTATTGGAAATAAGGTAAAGGTGGTCAGTGAAGCAGGGATGAAGAAGAAACCATGTGAAACGGCCCGGAACCCGAGAAATGGGACCCCTTCCTTGCCCGTTGATTTTCGCATTGATGCGACTCTCATCGTGCCCTCTTCAACGCTAACGCTCTCTCTGCTATGTCGGTGGGCGTTCCGGGCCAATTGCGCCGAGGGAAGGCCATGCCAGATCACTGGAGGCATATCCTTTGATGCGAATTGCGCGCTCGTCCGCACCCTCAGGGGGTCCGCTCATCTCCATCAGATTTTGGAGCAATAGTGGAATACTGCCAAATTTCCTTGGTCAACTGCCATTGTCGCAGCCGTTGTGGTATATGATCTGCTCCCGACGCTTTCTTGTTTTCTGTAGAGTAGTGCGCTTTGTACGAAGTAGACTAACAGTGAAACACACGAAAGAACCTTTGAGTCTAGGAAGTAGACAGTGAGATAAGGGACGGGACACTAGCGTTCAGGAGGGAGGACACTTAAAACGAGAGAGCACAGCAATGAAAGAGAGCACGAGGGGTCCGATGACCATCGAAGTTACCCGCGTCCATCAGAAAACATGATAGGGCCTGGCCCTCTTATCATGCACTTTTGAACTACGAAAACGGCACTTCTGCGATCTTCGTGGACGGCTAAATAATTTTCACTGTAGAGATCGACCACCTGGGTTCATCGTGTAGTGTGCCTTCAACATTCTAGAAATCCACGTTACATATTATAAACACCCTCAGCAATTTTGCTGTTGACTGCTTTTCGCATGCAAACAAATTAGTATGTATATTGATCGTCAAGTTATTCTTACAGTATATTCGTCTGTGATGTCCAATTTGGCTCATGTGCAAGTTAGAGTTTGTGTGCTGTGTTTTCTGCACTCGTAATCAAGCTTGAAAAAATAGAATGCGTGGTTGGCGTGGGCGAGGCGCTATCCGCGATTGAAATCACAAACCACAGCACCCTTTCGTTTCTATTCATTGCTAGAGACACCCCAATTCCTCCATATTCCCCCTCACGAAGTAAATAGATCCAATAATCATGCACTCAACAGCAGGTCATTCCAGTACGTGATGAAATTATTGCATATCAGATTACCCGACTTACATGTTTGAACTGTACCACTTCTTGTAATATTCGAGTAAAGCCTGTCGGAGTTCATTAGCAGTCCTACGCCCATCGTCCAGCAACGTTTTCTAGAAGCAATTCACTTCAAGAGGTTCGGGAATGTGGATGTTCGTCTTTGCGTACTGATATTTAACCATAACCAACCTTGCAGCCTATATTAAATTTCCCATAATCGTGACCTGGCTTGGAAAGATATCTGAAAGCAATTCTAAATTTTTATATAAACAGCACAAACATTCGTCTTGGAACCTCTATACAGACCATTGTAACATTTCAATTGCCCTATCCAGTCCAAATGCCTAATACAGACTTCATGGATGTACACGGCAGCATTATTTTTATCTCTCACGACAAGCCTAGTACCAACTGACCCAGTAAGAAGAGTACAGGGTGGGGCAAAATTACTGGTGCACTAAATTTTCAATGGCATTTTGACAATAATTCTCACAAATCAATTCTAATTATCAATATTATTTACTACAAACATGACAATACAAAAAATGTTAATGCTTCTCATGTGGCACGCAGGTACTGGTCATCGATTTCGTCCCAAGATTTTGAAAGCGCCGCCTTAAGAGAGTCCAAGTTTGGATGTCTGGTAGAACACGCTTTGCTCTCCAAGATGGACCACACAGAGTAATCCATCGGGTTTAGATCAGGAGAACTGGAGGGCCATTCGTCGTGTCTGATGAAGTCGGGCAGGTGCTCGGCGCACCACTCCTGGACCATCTTTGCTTTGTGTGCTGGAGCAGAATCCTGCTGGAAGCACCAGTAGGCTTCTCCGAAATGGGAGTTGGCCCACGGCTTGAGAACTTCCTCCAGGATATTTTTGTAAACCTCTGCGTTGATTTTTACACCAGCTTCAACGAAAACAAGTGGGGTCTTCCCCGTAGAGGTGACTCCTCCCCAAACAAGAATGGACTGGGGGTGTTTCGCTCTTTCCTGGAGTCTTGCCTTGGTGGTAGCATCAGCAAGTGATCCTGCAATAATCCTCTCATTTTGGGAGTTGAAGGCTGGATTCAGAGTAAAAAATCTTTTCATCACTGAAAACGATGTCTCGGGCGCGTGCCACCGTGAATCGCTGCAGCAACTTCTTGCATCTCTCCAATCTCCTTTTCTTCATAATGTCCGTCAGGAGTTGGCATTTCTGCAAGCGATAGGGGAACTTCCTTAGCTTACTTCTGACAATCCTCCTCATTGACCTCGCGCTTACTCCAACGTCTTTCGCCATCTGGCGCATCGATCTCCTGGCGTTCCTTCGAATTCTTTCTCTGACGAGCCTCACATTTCTCCGACTCGTAGCTGTTGTGGGACGTCCTCTTCCTTCCCTGTCCTCTTCGGTCTTCAGTTCTTTATAGCGTCGTACTGTATTCTGAACCGTCCTTCGAGGTACGGAAAGGATCTTCACAATTTCTCTTGTTTGCTTGCCGTCGTTGTGAAGTTTGATGATCGCGCTCCGTAGGTCAGAACGACGGACCATTTTGTATTCGAGTACGTAGGAATTACGCAACCTCCAGGCAACATATCACAAGCGAGTGAAACAGGAAAATCTCCAAGAAGTGTTAAAAAATTCAAAACGTATAGGTGCACCAGTAATTTTGCCCCACCCTGTACCTCTTACCGGTTTAGGTAACTTCCGATCTGTGGACTACCAACCAGCCCCTTGCTTTCGTTCTAGAGTCTTTCTGAAAACCGCTTCCTCTGCCTAAGAAGCCTGCTGAGGGAAAAGAAAGTTCTTTGACAAGAAGCACAACGTCAGAGCTCCACTCGTGTGTGGAAGAATTTTCCAGCCAGGTACAAAACCTCGAGATGAGCCACTTCGCAATATGCGGTCTTTGCCAGGGAAGTGTGGTTTTCAGCCACTTTTTCCAGCTGATCGTAGTAGAGCTTCAGCGTAACCTTGGAAATGAGTAAGAAAGTCGGAATTGAGCGATCTCAGCTATCGAAGAGATCTTTCACGAAATATCTTTTTTGGATTATATGGACGACTTACCGCATCACTTGTAAAATGCGCCAAGTGTCATCGTTGAGATACTTCGAGAGTTCTGACTCAATAGTTTGCACCTCAAAAAAAAACAATCGCTGAAGAGCTCTCACCAGGAAAGACCTTCAGGGCATAGGGGCGCTTTTCCAAAACGATTTGTTGCATGTTTTCAGGGCACTTGCGTATAAAGCATTCATCTGTTAATCATTTTTCCTGAGCGGCCCTGGGATTGTCAGAGAAAAGGGCAGAAGGTTTTCCTCGAGAAATGAAACTTTTCCATTTTACTAAATTCTGGCAGCAATTTGTGAAGTTTATGGTATATTTTGGTATGCATTTTGTTTACTGAATAAGTTGCAAACATAATATGAGGCCTAGAGAAGGTGAAATCAAAGAAACCATGCAAAATTTTGTCCCTCACTGGAAAGATCGAACCAGCCATGGTTTCGAAATGTTTTCCAGTATTTCCGAAGCCGCTCAGAAAAAAAATTATTCTCGTTTTCTGCTCTCTGTGCATGTCTCTATAAAATGCAAACAATCCTTTTGAAAAAGCGCTTCATGTTCTGAAAGACTTTCCAGGTTAGGCTGCGCCGCACCTGGTGAAACATGTAGATCATACAGTAGCAGGTGAAAATATACACGATATTTGTTCTTTGGCTTAGAGCTCAACTTACGCAATGGATCAAACACGCCGAAAAGAAAAGTGCTCCTCATAGTAAGGGACCAGCTCATTTATTGAATCTGTGCAGGCTATACAGGCATACAGGGGTGGCCAAAAAAAAGAGACACTTCACTCTCACATTCAAAACGGAATTATTTACGCGTCGCGAAACCAAACCAAATGACCCAACTGAATATTGAAGAGCACGTTATAATCTATCAACAAGCTACACAACAGCCTTCTACACCGACGACATCAGAAGATTTTCCCACGGAAGCATTGTGCACGGTACGAGCTCAACGAGGTCGTCGAGATACCATAGACGATTACGACGTCTCTGAAACGCTGGTCAAAAGCGGTTTTGCATAGTTCACAGCTAATGTCTCTAGGAAGCTATTCAACAATTAATTCACTGAGGAAATTGTGTAGCAGCTTCAGGTCGGAGCGATTTCGGTAAGCCTCGTTGAGCTCGACGGTGACGGCAGATGACGTCATATTCTGGAGACGGCAGGGGCAGTGAAGGAGTGCTTGCTTCTGTTTACGGAGGAACAACTAAGGAATATTCCGCGTAAAACGTTCCTTTAACGTCGCCCCCTGTCGACCGAAAATCTTGAACAAATTTAGGAGTTCTCACATTTATCATTCCTATTATATATACACTGTAAAACTTTGGAGTTTACAAGTAACTTATTTATATAACATAGTCTTTTTCTGGTTGTTCATCGAAATCTTGTGTTAAATTTCAACTACAGACAAACTATGCTCTAATTTGATTGAATCTGCTGAGTATCAGTCTACAGTATACCTTAGCAATTTCTTCTCTTTTTTAGGATTATAGGTATTAACCTATCTATTGTAAGTAGTGTGTTTTTTTTTGTGTTTGGACCCCCTGGTCAGATATTACTGTTTAATCTCTCTTATAACCTTCAACAACTAGACTAATTCTGTCATTCCCAGCCTCACTGAGGAGCCTCCTGGGATTGACGGAATAAAGTGGTTCGTCTGAGTGGAGGCGAAACGAACCACTCTAAACTCTAACGACTCATTTAATACATTTTTTATCCATTTATCATTTCGATGATGTGGTCATGGGCCAAGTTTTTTTTTCATGGCCACCCCTGTATAATTAGATCTTTCCGCGCGATGTGAGCCAGAAATTCAGCGACTTCTTCAGCCATGAGGGTGTTCCCTTACCGGAAAGCGTTCTGGTCCACGGTCCCTGATTTCAAGGGTGAGGCATGGCGGAGACCCGCGTATGGTTTGCTCCGGGAAAGGAGCGGTACTACAGCTCACAGTAGGGGCTATGAACGCGAGCGTATGATGAAGGATCAATAGGACCGAGTTGGGAGAAAAATGAACTACTTCTCAAAAAAGTAATTCCCATCACATGTCAGAAATCACCTTGAAATATCTCGTTTTCTTTCTTTCTTTTTTTGAATATCTGCTTAACCACCTCTTATTTCTGCAGCACGCTACTGGATGCACTCGTTTGTAGAATTTCGATACCGCGTAACAACCGTCGTTTTCTGCTGAAGTGTGACACCTTCAAACCCGGATTTGGTTTCTCGTGGTCTGCAGTGGAACTGACGCCGTGGGGGGGGGGGGGGGGGGGGGAATGGAAACCAATCATATAAAAAAAAAAATGCTTTCAGTCAAGAGTGCTACGATCGATTACTACAGTGATGTAGCCAACATGCTCGGCACATATTCACCAAGTACAGGAGCAGCCTATGATGAGTGATTCCCTCGAACTTTACGATGCAAACCTCTCTTTCAGTCGCAGTCTCAGCAAATTTCGGAGCTATGAAGAATTGTGCAAAACGATCGAGTGCTTCCTGAATAAGAGAACCTGATTCGAAAGAGTTTCACATTACTTACTACATTTCTCTATTTGTGTATATGGCATGTCTCCATATTTTGTTTGGACCCGGCGCTTTTGTAATTGAGCACTTAAAGGAGGAATTCACGATTAGAATGAAGGTCGAAGAAAGGGAAACTGACCTAGTTGAGGGACCCACGGACCTCCTGAGGGTGCGAACTGACGCGCAATTCGCATGGAAAAATTTGACCTCGGCGACCTATCATGCCTCAAAGCTGGCGGGTCCGGCGATCTCCGCCCACCGATCATCTGATCACTCGCCGTAGTTCAATACGTGGCGAGTGATTAGATAGCTGAGAGAGCGTAGTGTTGAAGAGGGCACAGCGATGAGAGTCGCATCAATGCTCGAATCAACGGGCAAGGAAGGGGTACCATTTCTCGGGTTCTGGGCCGTTTCTCATGGTTCTTCCTTCTTTCGTGTACCACTCACCATCCCTAGGTTAATTTGAAATGGGTTGCTTTTTCATCGTGAATTCGTCCTTTAAACAACGAAACGAAAGTGGTACGTAGAAGAACTTTTCGGCTACAGGCGCTAGTGTCGCGGACTCTACGCAACCACTTTTTGTACCGGATATCCCTTCTGTTCTATTGCTGTAACTGATGGGCAACCGTGGGCATTATGCTTGATTGCGTACTGTTACGTACGAATGGGCACCCTATGATCTTCTAATACAACGATGGAGTAGTTGGCGGAATAAGGGACACCTAAAAAGCTTCTCATAGATGGCTTTCCGCGATGATACCGAGAGGCGCTTCCCTGACTTGAGGTGGTTTAACCCCTTGATGGGTATCAGACAGAAGGTCAGGAGGTCCCTGGTTCGAATGCTCGCGACAACGACGCTAGGGACTTGTCACTTGATCTGTCTGGTGCTGCCGGTGTAACGCTTACTCAGGCGATCTGTGCCTTCTCCCCGCAATCCGCTGTACTATCTCTCGCCCATCTTCCATCCTTGGCACTCACCATCAGTGCCTCATCGTTTCTGCCTACTCCGCATCACAAAAAAAAGAATAAGAAAGTTTTTAACCGCCGCAGTGTTTTCGACAGATAATTCTCCTTTTTCCTTCACTGCCGGTTCACGTGGTTCGTCCGCTTTTAATTTTCATGTGAAAGAAGCACACCAAAAAGAGCGCATAGGTTGCCATGTGACGGAAAGGCAGCTGACAGGGAATCTGTCGTCTCACACGTCATGCCTTCATATCCCATTTGTAATCGGAGCTTTTCGGCGTAATTTATCTTTCTTTCGAAACAAGGCATTCGTCCTTCTGAAAGATCTCCGAAACAACGCTACAGTTTTGTAGTTGTGGTATCTGTTTCAACTGGGATAAAGAATTTGGCGCTGATCTCGTTAACACGAGGTGTCCCCCAAGAGGCCCGTCGCGCGGCGAAGGAAGAGACGCAGACGCGGCAAAGGACGAGTCGCAGCGCATACTGTAGCGGTTAGGCGTCAGGTTAAATAGAGTGTACCATACTACGTCTCATATCGCACAGCACGCGCTGCAACTCGTCTCTTTGCCGCATCTGCGTCTCTCCTTCGCCGACGGGCCTCTTGGGAGACACCCCGTTAACAAATAATGATGCACACCTTTGGCTACATGACGTTCCCACTTTGTTGATTCGACGAGCAGAATGCGTCAATGTTGAGGAGCCCCGCCTCGAGATAGAACCACAAAATCAACTCCAATTTAGCTCATAAATGGGCTGAATACATTTTTGGCCCACACTACGGACTGCGGTGCCCTTCAGCGCATTTATACTTCCAGACTAATGTGATGCCAATTGCCCAATCCGAAAGTTATGGAAAGTTTAATTGGTTCCAGATGCTCTGAGTCAGACTTTGTCCAGGAAGAATGTATACGTGGTAGTGCAGTTCATTTTCATCACAGTATCAGCATCTGAACTGATGCAGGGCAGCAGATGATATTGATATCGCTTGGTAAACAAAAAATTACAGAATCACCTTCACAGGATTAAGGTAAGATCTGAAGCATATGATTGCCTACTCGAATTTCTTTCGTTTTGAATGAAATGGTAGAACTTGATCAGATGTTCTACCTGCAGTTGATCCGGCTTTATATCGAAGTGATAACTTGTGTGATCGCTGTATGTCCGGGCGTTACTAGTACCACCATGGGCGGAGATGAACTTAAACGTTAAATGGTTAGATACTCAAAGAAGGGGTTACTGTAATTTAAATGCTTATGATGTACTTATATGACTCACTTTGTAGAACTCGCTCTCCTGTGGATACTTCTCTGTGCCTAAAAATAACATGTGCTCGCAGAAAAGTGTGCCAGTCCTTGTATTTCCCATGGATCCATAAGATTTCCTAATCAACGCTATTACGAAATGCAGTTCAGCATATTCACGTGATCCATTTTCTTCTGCGAAATAGGAGCTGGGCGATAGGATCGTGTGAGGAGCAGCAAATTGCACAAGAATTTCGTAGGCGCTGAGTCGATGCATCAAAATTTGGCAGCAGCAAGTCCACGCCACTCGTTTTATTCGTGGAGTCATATGCAGGTGCCACGAACAACTCGCCACTGATCTTCCTCCGATTTTGCCTGTGTACATGTTATTTATACTTGAAAGCAGTGGTAGCGGCGTTTCCGCAGCGATGGTCTTGAGCTGGTGTCAGAGTCCGCGACCCGTCGCGCGATTCGCGCGAATCGCAATAATCGCTAGTACCCTACGTGGATTTGGAACGCAGAATATGAAACAAGTGAAATCATGAAAGCACACGTCAGTCGCCCAATCCCCATCAAGCAGAAAGCGGAGGCGATTGAAAGGCAGCGCACCTTTATTGATCAGAGCACCTCTGATTCCCATGATCCGTCGCGCGATTCGCCGAATTACGCGACGGATCACGGGAATCAGAAACTGTAGTAACACTTTGTCCTCGTTCACTATTTATCTTGGTGGTTGACAGGAAAAACAGCTGGAAGGCGATTGTTTTAGGAGGAATTGCAAACCTCACCCCGCATAACTGAAGGTACTGTACTAGCAACCAGCCCTTATGATGATTCCTCATTGAAATCTCGTAAATCTATAATAAGCATCTAGGAGTTTATCTATTAGTATGGTCGGAAAGCATCCCCTTGTTTGAATGACCCGCACATTCAGCGTCGCAGTTGGCTATTTATATCTTGTCGTGGAGCTTGCACGGAGTGTGCAAGTGCTTCCTCCAACTCGCAGGTGAAACCAGCGCCAGCCCAGCTTAACGCTTACATTCAGTTAGACGTTGATGTTGCCGATAGAGACGTTGACGCCGACATCAGTACATGACTTTGCATTTAACTGACAAAAAAAGAGTCGAACGGGGAAACGTCAATGTACGTTTCACTTTCAGAACTTCCCTTTCATTGAGAAGTACATGACAGTTACCCACCGACGTTGACATCCATCGCAGCTGCAGCCTTATCTGTCGTAGGATCCGATACCAATAGCACCCGGAGACCATTTGTGAGCTCAAGACCTCGATACTGCAAAAACAAACATTTCTCTTGTTTCTTTCTTCCGAATTACACTACAAGATGAAGTAGCATTTGTGAATTTGTAATGGCAAAAACTGTCATTCCTTGTGGGATGTGGCGCACATTCGATTTCTGCTCATGTTCGAAATGAACCCGTGAGCTAACTCGGTCAAATTTTCGACGATAATCAAAATTAAATTTTACCAATCGTATAACTTCGTATAACTTACAAAGCCACGAGTCAGGATTAGGTCCCAAGAGCCAGTCCCTTCTAGAGTGAAGGAGAGGGGTCCCCAAGGGCAGTAGGGAGGACACTGTCGCGACTCAAAAGTTCGAGGCACTGGCGCTAAGACCTTGCATTGTGTGCTGCCGTGCTGCCAGCGTTATCAACCACGGCATACGTGGTCTCTGCGTCCTCTCGCGTACGACGTACTATCTCGCGTTCTCCCTCTCCTCGCAGCACTGTGTCTCTCCGCGTCATACAACGGTCACCCAGGGTCAAGCGAGGCGTCGAGGAAAATTTGGAAATACGACCCCCCCCCCCTCCGCCGGAGGCCGAAGTCCATGAAACAACCCTCTTCAAAAGCCGAACTATGAAAAGGTTGAAAAGCTTGTTTAATTCTCCCCCAAAACTGCTCATAAAAAAGCCCTGCTACCCCACCGCCCACAAAAAAATTCGTTTAAGAAGTACAAAAGTGAAAAAGTCAAAGAATAATCATTATTGATGAGTCCTACCAAACGAGCAAACGAGAAACAGACCAGAAAACGACAAACTAGCCACTAAAAATGGCATACTATGACAACATCTGTTCTTTATTTATTTCCTCCACAAGACTTACCAAATTCTAGTACTACACAGATTGTGGTTCTCAATTTGCACGTAGCCCTTCAGTTGAAAGAAGCTTTTTAACCGCCTTCGCCAGCTGTGTGTTGACTGGACTTTGGCGTTGAACGTGGAGCAGCTTAT